AGCGACAAAGTTTATGAGAGATCAAAATTCTAGTTGAACCAACAATAACGAAGGGGCGATGGGGGATATTTCTAAGATTTGACATTTTTGACTAATTAAAATATGTTTTAATTTCATGTTCTACAAAAACAGATACCAAGCCAGCGCATGCGGAGATGTCTCAAGAAAATATAAACTCCAGGTTTGAAAAAGTTATTGTTAATGTGAAACGGAAGTTGAAAAGCTTTGTTACAGTTTCTGTCATGATTCTTTATCACATTTTTGTACACAAAATTACATTTTCGAGAGTGAATTTCAAAATATATAATATTATACAAATTATAGCGTTCCTCTTAAATCTCCTTCGCAACCTGGGCCGTCCAGCGGGGCTAAAGCTCCCAGGTACGAGTAATTATGTTTTTTCCGCCTAACTCTCTTAACAACAATTTGTACACATTTCTCTATTTAAACGCATTTTAAAGTGGTGTTTGCTTCCACATAAATTAATATTCTTTATACTTTATAGATTCCCGCGGTTATGCGGAGCACATAGCCCTCCTGGCCCAAACGAAAGTAACACCTGGTTTAAAGACACTTTTCTTAATTCAAAACGCAAGCTAAAAAAAGAAATTCACGAAGCTTTAAGGAGGTATTTAGTGTTCCGTACAACTAACTTTGCTATAGTTTACTTATACGAGGTTGGCTCTTCTCTAAAGCTTTAAAGTTACTTCTCCATGCATAATGTATATTTGATATTTTATATATAGTTTCCCGTGGTTGTGTGGAGCATATGGCCTTTCTGGCCCAAACGAGAAGATTTGTCGCCCACGTATTTACCTCACAATTAAAAGAGGAATGAAAAAATCCGATGTACGACGCGACCTTGAAGAAAAATTCAATGTTGACGCAAAGCAATATTTTGAGCTTCTGCAAGAGCCTAAAGAAAATCCGAATATCAAATTCTTGGTTCGGGATCAAAATACTTCGAGTGTTGGAGTCGAAACTTCATCGTCCGCTACACCAGTCCTTCCAGCACCAGGTGGTGGTGTATTAGCTTGCAGTGGACAAAGTAATCATAACCCATGTCATGTACCTGAAGGCGAGAGAGACTTACCTGATGTGGAAGGAACAGGAACGCTAACTATGTTTTGTTGCAAAAACGGACAGCATTACGCACTTACTTGCTTTCACGTTGCTTGTGCATCTGATGAAGCTCGTTTGAATGCTGCAATCAATAAAGCAGAAGGTATCCAACAAATGCGCAGCAAACTGGCATATTTGCAAGCTCAAGCCGTAAAAAAAGAATACTTTTTTACCGAAAGCAAAGGAGAAACCAACAACGAGGCCATTTCGTTTGGGGATGATGGGAGCAACTACTTGCGACTTGGTGACTTTGAAAACGCGCATTTTAATACAGAATGTGATATATTGTCCCTAAAGATTCCGAATGACGTTCAACTTTTTTGTACAATTTCGGGTGTAACCTCACCGGATTGGGATACGATTGATGACGAACTGTATGAGCGAGTTATTGAAAAGAAAACGAGTCCAGTTCATGTAGAAAAAAACGGTTTTTCTTCAGCCTTAACGAAAGGATATATCGTTCCTTATGATTTCAGCTACAGCATAGGACAGGAACCGCTTTTTGAGGATGGATTTGTTGTCGAAGGATACGGTGGTGCTCCTTTCCTGAAAAACGGTGATTCAGGTTCTCTTGTGTTCTTTCGTGATGAAAAAAATGCGAAGCAAGTATTTGCTTATGGTGTTTGCGAAGTGAGTGCTGACTTATTACCAAAGAAAGGTTTCGCCTTCCCATCGCAAGAACTTGCTTCAAAAAAACAGGCGGAAGAAACAAGTTTCAGCCAACAACAGGAAGAGGTGTGTTCCGAACAACTCAACCCAGCAGTCACGACATCGCGGGAGCATGCCGTTTCAAAACAGCACATCACAGTACCCTCGACATCACTGGAACAAGCCTCGCCGAGGCATAACGGAACAAAGATTTCTACCGCGCCCGATCATACCTCCCAAGAACAAACAATTAGTTCCAGTGATTGTGAAAGCGGCAGCAGTAGCCCTTGGAGTGAAGACAGCGATGACGGAGGAATTGTGTTCCAAGAGGAGAAAAATGGGTTATATATCTGTTTACCATTATACACTGCATTGGAGAAACTTGAGCTTTTAGAAGCAGCGTGTTTTAAAGATTGTGCTAATAGCCGGTAATAATAGGAGCTCCTAACTTCAGAGATTATTGAAAATATAACGAGTCAAATATACAGCTTCTTTCAAACTTCAGGTGTTTTAAAAACAACTCACATTGTTGTGCTCGACCTATATACGTAGCTTTTAAAAATAAAGCAAATAGCGTTCTTAGTTTCTAGAAGAAAACAATTTGAAACTTAGGAAAAACGTCGCTCTTTTCATGCGCCGAACCTAATGCAAAGGAGCTCAACCAAAGACTTTAGTTCATTTTCATTAGGTTCGAATTCGGTGCATGAAAAGAGGGACGTTTGACCTAGACCTTAGTTCCTATTATAATTAGAGCACGCCCAATTCAGCCGTTTAGAGAGCCGTAGCTCCCAACACTTCGGAGATAGGCAAACAATTGGGCTAACGAGATTTGTCTTGAGTAAAATGTGTGAATTGATGGATAATAGCGGTAATGACGTCATATTTCTGAGAATTGGTTAATATATGTGGCACGTTTCTTCTCTTTTAGCAAAAATCTCCTTCCAAAAGTCCAAAACCTTAAATCATTGTATATTTATCTATTTTATTGCCCACAGGTTAGAATAATAATAAGGTATACATGTCCATATGTTAGTCTAGTTTAATACATTGTTATTTTTTTATCAAATATTGCGCACTTAAGAAATGTATTAATTAGCTCGTAAACCATATTCTTGCATGGAATGTTTCAAGAGTTCAGAAAAGTGCGCGAAACAGGAGCCGAAAGTGAGTGATTTTGCGAGCTTTTCCTAATTCTCCCAACATTCCCAAGTGTTTGGACCAGGCCATCCGAACACATGCAGAAGCCATTAAGTAATTGTTTTATAAAATAACAACAAGGTAGTGTCAGAGACTAAACAATAGATACAGAACTGGAACCAGTGTACTCACATTTTTATGCGCATGCTTGGCAAGTGCCATAGATTTAAAGTAGAAACAATTCTGCAATTCATCTTAAGTGTGTAAAATGCAATATAGATGACGATATTGTAAAACTCGAGCATGCGCAATTGGTCACTTTTAACTCACGTGCACTAAAAAAAGCAGGTACAAAACAGCTCTGTATCGTTTCCTTTCTCTGCGGTAGTGTTCCAAGCATAGAGATTATAAATAACACTAGAGGAGGCATTGGTATCGAAAACATCAGTCGAAAAAGGGAGCGCGATAATGGAGGGCAAATTCAAGTGCCGGTGCAATGCTCTTGTCAGCTACCTCTGTAGCTCAGTGGCAAGAGCATTGCACCGGCATTGCAAAAGCGTACGTACGATTACTGCCGGAGGACATATAGTTGACACTGCTAATCACTGAGCTCCATTTCACCTGAAGTGACGCTTGTCATATAATAACACCCTTTAAAACCTCTAGAATTTACTTACATCGAGTGAATGCCAAAAATCATAATCGATTTACCCTTAACCATTCCCGGCATTACCCATTACACATGCATTAAATAAACACGCTTGCTCTTGCCATCTACCTCTGCAGCTCAGTAGGCAGTCGACGATTCACGACGTTGCCAGCTCAACGACGCGCTTGCGAAACAAAGAAACTCAACACGCGAGAAAATAGGTATGCATAATTTGTGGTCCCACGATAGCGTTGCCATCCCAGCGACGCCTTGAAATAAGGCAATTTCACGGCCTCTCGACGACATAAAGCAGCTGCAACGTGTTAGCTGTTTGATAGCTTATATGAAACTGCAATATCAGCTAGACATCAGAGGTTCTGAGCATTATTGAGATGTTTGTATGAATATTTAAAGCCCTGGCAGCATAATTAATTTCTCGTAGCCTTTTTCCAGCAAATTAATTGACTAGCGTCGTCGAGCTAACCGCGTCGTAGATCGTAAACTCCCTAGTGGCAAGAGCATCGCACCGGCATCGCAAATGCGTAAATTTGATTCTGCCGGAAGAACTGTAGTTGACGCGTTTTTCCCTGCAACTGTTCATTAAAATGAAAGGTTCGTTAAAATGAAAGGGCAACTTTGGTTGTTTACCATTTACATGGAAATTCCGGTGATTCCATATGGAAAATAAATGGAAAAAGCATATTTCGAAGGCTCAACCAGAAATTTTCCGGAATAAACGGCTTGTTTGAAAAGGTTGTCCTCTCATACCGATTGGGAAGTTTCAAGCGGTTAATTCTGTCCGTCTCAATTTTTTTTACCACTTCCAGGCTCCTCACGATTAAATTTACGCGGTAATTTAAAAAATCAATGTATCGTTTCAGTGCAATTCATACCTCTTCAGCACTGGAGACCTTCCTTTACTGGTACAATACGATTGCGTGGCAATGAACGTGGTAAGTAAAGTAATTCTAACGAATTTGTTTTTAAGTCTGCTTCCTTTTACAACAGAAATGACACCATTGACTTAAAATAAAGATGTCAAAAATTAAAGCCGTTATCTTGGAATTGTTAAATACTCAATGGCTTCCGGTATAAATGGAAAGCGCATAATCCGAATGGGATTTTTAACAAATATTTTGCTTACCATTAGCACAATTTCAAACCGGATAGGTTTCCCATGTAAATGGTAAACAGCCTTTGTTCCCCTTGTCCCTGCTAGCAAAAGGCAAGGGGGCAGCTGCCCCTCCTGCCCCAACTGCTTCGGCATCCCGGGTTGAATATCCGAGACAAAAATTACAAGAAAACTACACTGATGTTTATAAAGAATATGCAAATAAAAAAACATACTAAGCTACTGTGACAAAGTAAATTTTATGATCGGTCATTAGCAAAGTTAAAAACCCAGCACGACTTCCAGGGAAGAGAGACAGATGTCCTGTAATTATTAAGCAATCTCGGTTGTGGGACAGTTAGCAATTTCTGTAGGTAATATGACAGGTGAGGGTCGTTCTGGAGTGTCGTAAAGTTCTGTCCCATTTCCCTCTTGTACCGTATTTGTTTTTAAGCACAAATCGTCGTACGGAACGAAGACATTTTTGACATGACGTCCCAGGACGTTATAAACATGGTTGCCAGACTCATCAACATTTCCCCACGCGTTTCGAAGCCATTCAACCGCCAATGGTGGAAATAGTTGGAGTCTGTCATACCAAGATCTCTGCGAAGAATGTGTGTTGACATAATCTCTTCTCCACAGCACAACACCACGCGAATGTTGTGGAATCGGATTTCCATCAGGTGTAAGATTGCCGTACTCTGGAGGGCGGTTCTCTGGAGTTGCGGAATGTGAAGAGTCTATGAGGATTAAAAAAATGCTAATACCAATTTACCAAACTTTTTACCTCTTTTTCCTACCATGCTTGGTGATTGCAACGCTGGCGTCGTTGAAACTCAATAGGAAACATCGCAGGAAGTTGAGCATTGAATGAGAAACAGGGGTAAACTATGTACTGACTGAATGTTTGCTTGTATTATGTGTCAGTCACAAACTTATCAATAATTACAAATTTACACCTATATTACATCTTTACATTTACATTTAATCATGTGCGGACTAGTTCACACTGTAATTGTAAATATTTTTCAGTGCCACAGGCATACATATAAGCCCAGTTTTCAGCATTCGGCCCGTTTCCCGAGCCCTATCGACGGTACTGTTTGGTTTAATCGTCGCAACATACTCTCCACATTTTTTAAGCGGATTGAAGATAATGACGCGGTTTTGAATATGACTAAGAGGACACGTCCTTCCAGGCGAGACCAATGGATCCGAAAATAAAACAGTTGTTATCAAACTATAGGGTGTATCAAAAAAGCGCAAGCCTCCCAGGTGCCTACTATCTTTTGTTATGGAATAGAAACGAACATATATGAATATAAGGTGGCTGCCGTTTTATTGATACACCCAGTACTCAACGAAGTATTAGCTGAATGTGAGCCGTATTTGTGTAAAGACAGTTGGCTACGGTATTGATCTGAATGAATCAAAACGGTAAAGTAATATAGTCAGGCACAGTAATATATAATCACCTTCTTTGGCTTTTTGTTTTCGAATGAACAAAACAACTGCAATGACAATCACGAAAGAAACAGTAGCAATGATGATAGAAATGGTCCGGTTTTTGGAAACATTTAAAAATTCGCAAAAAAAATTGTTAAAAGATTGAGTAACATAGCGTAACAGAGCAAGCAAGATATTTTTGAAAGATTTTGCAGACTGAAAATGTTTTATGAAAAACGAGCATGATTATGCAGGAACTTGTGAAACACTAAAATGTTTTTGGTGAGGAATTTTGCGTTTTACCCGGATGTACTAAGACCGAAACAATGGTTACCTGAGCAATGTTTCATCTCACATACTTGAACCCGATAAGCTGCTCCCTGCTTACTACAATTCTCACTAAACTCTCCTGGCGGAACATAACATAGTCGCGTCCATATTTCAACACCTTGACCACACGTGACACTGCACGGGGAAGACTTTGTCCAGTTGCCATAAGTACCAGCAACTGCAAAATGAAAATTAGAATGAGATACTTCGACGTTTTGTAAAAAATGTGCCAATTAATAAATAGACAACATTTAACCCTTGTCTGTTCAGTTATGGAACCCAAAAAGTAGCCACGCGCTGCCGAGGAGACTGGTAACTTTTTGTTCTTATCACTAATGGCGTCAAACCGTGTATCTATTACTTAACAGACAACGGTTAAATGTTATCTTTTTGTTTTCTATAATAAAATCGAAAAGGTCCCAAATTAAACAGGCAAACAGGTTGTTTTTATTTTCCCAAATTAGTGCAAAAATTGAAAAGGTAAAAATTATGAGCATATCACGCATCTATTGGTTTGAAAATGCGATTAGCTAATTTACAACCCTTGCTAAAGTGTGATTGGCTGACAAAATGAAAAAGTGATTAAATTCGTTAAACTTTTTGTGACGTCATTCCGTGCAGCAGTCTTCTAATAGATCATGGCTCTTGATCAATGAAATGTTACGTATAAAAAAGACAATGTAACGTTATTATATTAACAGCTAGTGACTGGACGTTATAGAACTGAATCAACTGATGGAGCTTCGTGTCGACGATTAAGCCAGATTTTAATGCCAGAAGCGCTGAATATCATGGTGTTACTCTTCAGCATGTATATAGTTGGTTTGACTCTTACTTTGACAAGTTTTTCTTTTACATTTTCTTAATTCAGCCGAGTTTCCCAGCCCACTGCAGTTACTGCCTCCGTATTTGGGTTTAGGATTATCACAATTACGTCGCCATATCTCCACTCCTTCACCGCACGAAACATTGCAAGGAATTCTAACACTCCAGTTGCCATAACCACCGTTTACTAGTAAGAAAACCGGCACATTAATCAAAGTTAGTAAACAACTTGAACGTGGTGTGACCAGTATTGGTCATTTCTATGCAAGGGTGGCAAAGGTGGTAGGGTGAAAAAGACTTAGGCACACACATGAAATGACAACATAATTTTAGTCTGCCTATCCGGGTTAAGTTGATGTTTTCAGCAAAATCATGATGTTGTCATTGATGGTACACTTAGGCTCGTGCGCATCATGAAAAACCGACTATCATCGCTTTTTGCGCCCGGTTTTAGAATTTTAGGAATTATTTATACTATATGTAATGAGGACTTGAACTAAATCTAATTCTCAATTCCCACGCGTATGTGATAATTAAATCATTTACAATGTGTTAATTTCCTGGACACAATCTATTGGTTTGAATTGCTTCTGCTGGTCAATGTTAAAGAAACAAGATAATTTTCTGGGGTCGACTATGCTAACGGCTTATATTAGTTATGCTTGAACAAGATAATATTTCTTTACCTGGACAGGGTTCAGCCAAACAGGATCTGTATTCAACTGACTCTCCGATTTCACTGCAATATTTTCCGCCAAACTTTGGCTTAGGTTTGTCACAATCTCGTTGCCATGTTTCAAAACCTTCGCCGCAACTCACATTACACTTATCTTTTAATGACCAATTCCCATAATTACCGTCAACTAAACAACGTAATAAATGTACTGGTGCTGAATACGAACAGTTTTTGCCCTATATGAAATAAACTTAATAAAATCCATTGTTGGTTGCACTTTTCACCCCTCCCCCTTTTCTCAGTAATTCAAGCCGAAGCTGTAGTTTGAAATCGGCACCGCACGGTAGGCAAGCAGCCCTTCCTCCCGCCCACTAATTACTTTTCTAATATAACATTTATATATAGTGCGCACGTACTGATTGGTCGAGAAGCGTACTGTGTGCTTCTATTTAACAATTTGTCGACGAAGGGGAGGTGTTTACAAGCCTATATTCACTAGCCGAAGGTGAAGTGAATGAGTATTTTAACGTGCTTGTAAAAAGAATAAATAAAGCTTAATGCATATTAGGGCATGTGTGTAACAAAGTTATGAATACTAATTAAGATTGGTTGTATCAAAGTTAATATATTAATTAACAATTCATGAGACCTTTATGGAGAATTACAAATTATTAAACGACTTTTTCTTGGAACAAATGAATAGATCTCCTACCAGAGGCGAAAACATTCTCGATCTTGTTATTACCACTGATCCCGACCGTGTGAAGATAATCGAAGTCTTGAAACCAAGTGATTCAGACATTTCCACCGACCACAATGCTATCATTTTCGATCTCTTCCTCTCATACAATCCTTTCCCTAAGTTAAAACGAACGGTGTTTGATTACCGACGCAGTGACTTCGATGGTCTTCGAAGGCATCTTCAAACCCTCGATCTCAGTCATCACATATCAGAGAATGGCGATATCAACCAGGATTGGATGGCGTGGAAAAATGCGTTTTTGGAAGCGGTATCGAAATTTGTGCCAACAAAAACACTCCGAGATCGAAACCATCTCCCTTGGATGAACAGCACGATACTTCATTACATCAAAAGAAAAACTCCATTAGAAAAGGATTAAAAGATCCTGCCATCCAAGTGATCACCTCAAGAAAAGCTTTCGAGAGCTCCGCACGACAATCAAAAGAATGTTGCGTGATGGTCGCTTGGACTATATCAACTCCATATGTTCTTCTCGAGAGTACAATCCAAAACGTTTCTGGTCGTTTTTCAAGATTAAGTCGAAAGTTTCCAATATTCCATTAAAAGTCTCGGTCAAAACTAGCGAAAATCAAAGAATGTATTTCGATAATAACGCTGAGATTGCAAACACTTTTAACGAATACTTCGCATCGATCTTCACTAGCGACACCGCCAACGACTTCAATCCAGAACAGCATCCGGAACCGGACATTATTCTCGAAGACATTACTCTGACTAACGACGAGGTGTCAACGGTGTTAACTAAGTTGAATAACAATAAAGCTCAAGGTCCGGACGGAATCCGAGCACGATTGTTGACGGAAACCTCATTCCAAATCACTGCTTCACTATGCGCACTCTTCAACAAATCCCTACGTTGTGGTGTCCTTCCTGACGAGTGGAAGTTAGCAAATGTCGTGCCTGTATTTAAACGCGATGAAAAATCGTACTTAGAAAACTACCGTCCAATTTCGTTGCTTCCTCTTGTCTCCAAAGTCCTCGAACGTTGCGTGTTCCACAACATCGAACATCACGTTTTTCAACAAATCAACCCTTGTCAACACGGTTTTGTCCGACGAAAGTCATGCGTGACCCAACTAATTGAAGTATTCGAAGAGATAGGCCGTAAATTAGACCATGGTAAGCAAATAGACGTAATCTACTTGGACATGTCGAAGGCATTCGATAAAGTAAGTCACGATCAGCTCTTGCACCGATTGCGCGAGTTCGGGTTTCGAGGTAACATTCTAAACTGGTTTTCATCTTATCTCAACAATCGTTATCAACAGACAGCAATTGGTGGAGCAATATCAAGACCATTACCGGTGACATCTGGAGTCCCACAAGGCTCGATTCTCGGTCCACTACTGTTTCTCTTGTACGAAAACCACCTGTCGGAAAGCGTGGACAAATCTAGCATTGCAACCTTTGCAGACGACACAAAGATTTTCAGAACAGTCGACAATATGTGTGATGCATCCTCGCTTCAAGACGATCTAACAAATTTTAAAGAACTTTCTAGTAACGTTAACCTGATATTAACGCTAAAAAATGTAAAGTTTTGCGAATAACCCGAAAACATCAGAAAATAGAATATCCCTACAAACTACATGATACCGTCCTAGAAAGCACCGATCAAGAGCGTGATTTAGGAGTATGGACTTCTTCCAATTTGACTTGGTCCAAACATGTTGAATACCAATGTGCTCAATCAACGAGAATGCTCGGATACGTTAGGAGGTCTACACTGGATATAAAATCTATCTTGGTTCGTCGTACTCTATATTTGTCTCTTGTACGTTCAAAGCTATGCTATGCATCTCAAGTCTGGGCGCCACAAACTGTGGAACTGATTAAACGGACGGAGAGAATTCAGAGGCGCGCGAGCAAGTATATCTTGGATCTACCATTTATCTGCGACATTACCTACAGTAGGCGACTCGAAATGTTAGACCTTATTCCACTCTGCTATTGGCACGAATTTTTGGATCTAGTGTTCTACTTTAAATGCATCAATGGATGATAAAAGTTAAAGATAGTGTTCTACCATCAATTCAGAACCGGGAGAGATCAACACGATCAGCCAACCCCGCGTGCTTGACGTTCATCACACCAAAGTGCAAGACTGTAACATTCCAGAAGTCATTCTTTTCTAGGTGCGCAAGAGTATGGAATGTTCTCCAAAAGGGCTGACAACGAAGAACATAAGCCTTTGTCGATTCAAAAACGATCTTTATAACTATTACCATTCGGCCTTGAATATATATGACGCCGAAAATCCTAGAACTTGGAAGTCTGTTTGTTTGTCTTGTAACGCGTCCCGTAATTTGTCTAATTCTAACTCATGCTGCTATTAATTCAAATGTGTGTCCTTGTGTTCGTTATGTCCAGCATTGTTACACGTAAATTTCCTTAAAGGTGGATCTTCCTGTGGGATGTGAGCAGTCATTTTACTCTCGGAGTACAATTCTATACTGCTCCTATCACGAGGAAGATTTTCCTAAGTGTGAACTATATATTGTGTGGAGATTGTATGATGTCTGTTTTATTTGTTTTGAAAGGGCTGCTGTAATTGGCGTGAGCTGTAGCAATACCCTGCCTCGATTATTGTGAATATTCATGCATTTGTATTGATTTTGTGCTGTTCGTGTTTGTAATATTGTATGTTGTATCAAATGGCAAAGCATAATAAATAAATAAATAAATAAATAAATAAATGTAACATGTGACCAAAAGCTGCGCAATGATTGCAAGATAGACTCATTAATTATTCATGAATTTCACAAGGCGACTAATTGTTTTAGTATAAATTTCCAGGTGTTTACAAATAACAACAACACAATTTCATAAAAAAATTATGATTATTTCAAATTGCTTATTTGAAAAAAACGAGTAGCCGACCAGTGACTATCATTTTCAGAGACAGTGAATCTTAGT